AGAATTGTGCTCTTTCAAAAATCTGGGGTAAAAACCAGACTGTGCCATATTCCTGTAGTCAGGATAAGGACACCACTGTGCAAACACCTCTTTGCATCTCTTGCCAGCACCTATTCACCTGAAAAAACCCACAACAATTTTCATGCAGAGACTTATAACAGCTTGAAGAGGAAAACATCATTTTCAATGCCACAGTAGCATAAGTCCTGAGCTTCTCATCTTATTGTTAGACACAACTGCCTTCTTTTCCCTCCTCCTCATTTTAACAGAAGCAACAGTATTTAATTCAATCCACCCAGAAGCAATGACAGAGTCAGCAGCTGATATACAGCTAGTGCTGGTTAGAACTCTGAATTACTGTTTTGTGAAGAATGTCAACATTTTGACATTTGTTGCTATTCTCAGGGTAGAAAGGAACTGCATATTCGTCTGGAAATTTTGAAATGTCACACTGAACTCACAGTTTCAACTCTAAATTTCAGAATTTCACGTTCTATTCCATTTCACATTGGCTTTCAGTCTTTTTTAATTCATTAAATGCCAAAGTAGAATATTTTAAATCACCCTTTTAAATTTTACTTTGGTTTGCTTTATTTGAGCATATTAAAACTATGGGAAGCCACTGTCCCACACTGACGGAAGACCAACTTCAATCATCATTTTACACTGTGTCTAAATTCCATCCATTGAAAATTTTTGATACGTGACTTTTGTGAAGACACTTGGGTGAAAGCGTAAAATTTTGGGTGAGAAGACACTTTGGGGGAGGCAAGCAATGCAAAGCAAGCTGCCTGCCTTTCTCCATAAGTCAAAAGCAACACTAGGAAGGCATATATCCCTGTGACAGCAGGAGGGAATCTGGTAGACTGCTTTTATTCATCTGCAGAGAAGGAAAAACTTCTAGTTGCTAAATTAACAGCAAACAGCAAGAGACTTAGTCTCAGTTCAAACGCAAGCATCGGAGGTGAGTGATGGCAGACTGTAAAAATTATTAAACCAGTGCAAGAGAAGTGCATCAGTTGTAGCGAAGGACACTGGTGAGCAGATGTTTCTGAGGTGATGATGAAAGTTCCAAGCGAATGTCTCCATCAGAGATATTATATCAGTGGAAAAACTGACAAAAGCTGTGTAAAACAAGAAAACAGTGAGTCCCTTTTGGGCACTACAAGCCACATGAGACCATGTATGGCTGGGTGCAGCAGGCAGCAAAGAAATCATCTCCAGCAGTGTGGAAACCACGCTGTGGCTGAGGTCCACTAGTCATGAGCAGCCACCACCACCTAAACTATGCCACAAGCATAAGCTGCCTCATTAAATCCTCCTGGTTTATAGTTGTCTCCCCACTTTTCATAGTGCTCATCTGGAAAGGTGTGCAAAACTTTAGGGCTGTCTGAAGAGGAGGCCATGCTCCACTGATGCCTCTACAGATGTGAATGGGGGTACTGCAATCCGTGGCTGACCAGGTTAAGGAATTTGGGCACTTGTGTCATGTCTGGGAGAACAGACACAGCTACCAAAGGGATATTGCTCTCTTTCTCCTCCCAGCAAATCTGCAGCAAAGAAACATGGCTTTGGATGCTGTACTAAATCAGAGCTACAAGACATTTCCGTCCTCACCAAATTGTCAAATTGCTCTCAAGAGATCAATGATTTTATTAAGATTTCCACCATTTTGGACAAGAGCTGCAAAGCTGTCTCAAATGGCTTCAGTGGTACCTAGTCTAGATGTTGAAAATATGAAAGGTCCCTTTAGGAAGGAATGTGCTTTCCAAAGCCTATGAGTAGAATTAGGACAATAGCTGGGCTCTAGGAAAAACAGATCTCCCAGAGCCACCTCTCAAATACACCAGGAGATACATGAGGTCCCTGAAAGGTCCACAAATCTATTTGGGATATATGATAGTATCTCAAAGATGTTCAAACATGACCAAAAAGAGTGAAAGGACCCAAAATTATTTGGAGACATGGGAACTCAACAAGGGGTTTTGGTGTCTTAACCAGTCCAGCACAGGAACATTTGGTGATAGATGAGCTGGTCAGTGGTGGGAGTTTACCAGTCCTGCTTTGGCTACAGGGCAGAATCCTGGGAATACTCCACATCAGAAACTGTTTTTGTCATATGTTTACTATAGACATGTTAGTGCCAGAAATGAGCATACCTAATGAGCCACCTTGGCCTTGTGCCCTCTGCCCTTTGGGAGAGGAGAAGTTAAGAGAGAGGCTTCAGATTTTGATTTTGTCTGAGCAGGCACAGCAAGAGCATGAGAGTAGCCAAACGGTCTCACGAGAACTCTGTTGCTGCTCCTACAAAGGTCCCCATCACCCTGAGATTTTTTGACTGTTGAAGCACATGAAGGTTTAAATGAGGACATGCACTGCACCAGATCATTTCCTAACTAGGACTTGGGCACTAATGCTAGACAGACACTAATGCATGACTCTCACCCCATAAGTGGCCCAAGGACAGAATGCAGCATGGAATTGTGTGTGAGTAAAACTCATTGTTTTCAGCAGGCTTTAAGAACCAGTACAGATTATTTGCTGTTCCCATACCAATCCAGATTTATTTTGGATCAGCAGCGACTTCAAGATGATTAGTACACAGCAAAAAACAGAGAGCCACAATGTCATGAACCTCTTCCTAGCCAGAATGCCAAATAGAAACCTTTTTTTTTACCCTTTAAAAGCATGAAACAAATTTAATATAAATTTTTGCCACTCACAGTGATGAATCATGGTATATGTTAGAATTAGGGACCATTACCTTTTAATCTAAAATGGATTGGCTGCAACATCCTCAATAATTTGCGCACAAACTGTGTTCAAGATTAGGCATGAGCTTTTCTGAATACATTTAGAAATTGTTTGATACTTTAAAACCCTTCCCTTGCAAGAAGAAAAATTCCAAAAGGTCATCTTATATTTTGTGTGATTTGTATTAATGCTTCTTACCCTTTCTGTTTCCTTAACTGAAAAGTCTCAAACCAACCTTGAAAAGGCAAAACACAACCAAATGCAGAATCATGTGTGTGTGTTGGAAAAGATGTTAAGATTTACATGATAGCCAAGTCAAATTAAAGTGACAATTCTTCCTAACAGATATCTGGCTCTAACACAGCCTTTTTTTTCCCTTTTAAATAAAATAATTCCCAAAGTTGATTTTATGAATGAGTTATTCTGCAAAGGAAGAGAAGAGCATGTGGCAAGGCTGGACAACACTGCTTTAATGCCAAAGCCTGCCACCAACATATCACAGAAGATTTGTAAGCTCAAAAGTGAAATAGGTAAGAAAACAGCTATTTAGCAGGTTGGAAGAGAAAGAAAGTTTCTGGAGGGATTTATCATCAAGCAGATAATAGTCTGTTCTGCAGAAGAATTGAAATTATTTTTTATAGAGGTACTTATGAAATATTTCTGTCTGTGTATTTGCAAATGCCACGTGCACACACACCAACATGTATATATAAATATATATAGGCATACATGAAACCCCCAACATGAGCTAAATTAAATTGTCCCTCCAGCTTTGTAATGCAAATGAGACTAACAGGCTTGTGCTGTTTGTGGTTTGAGATGATTTGTGTTTCCATAGAGATGCTGACTGAACTACAGTTTTAAATTTTTTTATATATATAAGCCTACTTGTATCTATAAAAGTCTAAATATGGATCTACTATACCTCAGCATTTCCTCAGTGACTCCACTAGAACCACAACCATTTACATCTGTTAAAGCTATGTGCAAATTTTGTGTCTTTCACTACTTTTCTATCTAAGCTCTGTACCAAGAACCTGCAGAGCTGCGAGTTTATTGCTTCTCTCCCTGCTTCAAAGGTTCTTATTAAGGAAGGGGAAGAAAAGAATAAAAACAGTTTCTTAGCTGCTCGTAGATAATATTTTAAAGCCTTCTGTAATTTCTTGCCCTCTCTAAACTGCCTCAAGAAACATCTTTCCCTTTCAAAATTCCCACTGTCAGGAAACCTGAAATTCAGGGAAGACCATCTGTGTGCTGTTAGAGAAGGAAATGACAAATGGACAGGCTTTCAGTCATGTATCAGAAGCTTTTTCCCCTTTCCCTGTGAGCACTCACAAACTCAAGAGCATGGATGTGCTCAGACATGCCAAGGTGGGCCTGGGCAGCAACAGCATCATTGCCTCCCTACCTCACCCTTTGTGGAACCTCAGCTCGTCATACACAGTGAGGGCCCACAAAGCTAAAACACCTCCCAGAGCCACATTAGAGATGGCCACCAGCAGAAGTGACAAAAGCCAGGCAGGATCAGCTTGGGCAGAGAAACCAGGCAGACCCACTTTAACTTTCTATTTCAAACTGACTTCACTTTATGAGGTCCAGGCACTTATTGAAGTGGATGGGGACCATCTGGTGTACCAACATCAGAGAGGAAAACCAGAGCCGAGCTCTGTGGGGACTCATTTCCATGTGGTTTCAGTGATAAGTGATCTTTGAACAGCGACACACCAGAGGACAACCTCCGCAATCACTCTGAACCACAATCAAAACCAGCCTCTCGTGTACCTCCCATCTGCCTGAGGACCGGGAGCATTAATTGTTGAACCAGGGATGTCCCCAGTTATATGAAGCAGCTCACACCCAACCTCTCACTTCATCTTGGGAGTGCCCAGAAGAAAATGCTCCAGTTGAGCGATGCCTTACAGAGGCATGGCCAGGGAGCTCATGGGCAACAGCAAGTCACAGGGACAAAACCTGCCTCCCTCCCTCCTGTGGGCTGACACCATGCTTCCACACGTGACACCATCTCACTATTTGAGGCTAGCAGTTTCTCTAAGCCCCTGCAGAGGCTCTTTTCAAAGCAGATGGGAGTTCCCCATTTCCAGCTTTTAAGAAGCCATATGTAGGGAGATCTGCCCCACACCCCTGACAGCACCACCTTCACCCCCACCACCTTTCAGGGAGCATCCCAAGCCACGTTCTGCCATGTGGCTCTCGCAGGAGTGTCAGTGACCACTGGTATCTCTTACCTTCTGCTGCAGGGTGGGCGGCTGCGGGGCCAGCACTGGGTCAGTGATGTAGGTCTTCTTCGTGCCCGGTGGCTGGTAGAGCCCAGGGGGAGCCTGGCCCATGGCATTACTCGCAGGATACGCCGGCTCGGCCTTCCAGGAGCTCTGCGGCACGTAGGGCGCCTCGGAGCCGTTCCTGCCGCCGTAGCCCCCGTAGTAGGGGTCCTGGTAGCGGCCCTGCGGGGGCGCGTAGCCGTAGGCGGGCTCCGCGGGCCGGCCGGGCGCAGGGCCGTAGCCGTAGCCGGGCCCCTGGGGCTGCGGCGCTCCGTACTGAGGGGCCGTGGGCTGGCGGGACGGCGCGGAGCCGTAGGGCTGGCCGGGGCCCAGGCTGCCGTAGTGCCCGGGCTGCGGGCTGGGCGGCTGGTAGTGCGGGCTGGGCTGCGCCGTCCTCACCTGCACGTTGAAGGCCGGGCGGCTCGGCGTGGAGGCCGTGGCGTAGGAGGCCGGCACCGGCTGCGGCTTCAGGGTGCCAACCGGAGTGACTGGGATGGGCGCTGGCTGCCCCGGGCCCTTGGCAGTGGACTTCTTGGTGGCGGTGAGGGGAGGCTGGTTGGGGATGATCATCCGCTTGTGGCCAGTGACAGGAGTGGACACGGATGGGGTGGTGGCAGCGGAGCTGCTTGAGGTCCCCGAGCCCTGGAGAGCAAGGAGAGAGACACAGGGTCAGCAGGAGGGGCCGCTTGGGCACTGGGTCGAGCAATGAGGGTGGAAATGTGGGTTTACAGAAACATCTGTGCAGCAACTCCAACTGCTTAGGAAAGCAAGAGTAACAGGGCCACACGTTATAGAATGGTAATAGCAACCTTCCCCTGCTCTGACAGAACAGGGACGGCACCGCAGCAGCAGAGCAGAACTGCCGTGCATGGCATTTCATCTCTCCTTGGAGGCTTCTCCTCCGCCTCCAAACAAACAAACAAATTAAAAAATGATACACACACACACACAAACAAAAAAAGGGAGACTCGCCAGAGGATAATTAGGGAAAACCCCATGCATTCCTGTGGAAATGCGGCTGTTTTGAAAAAGAGAGAAAATGAGATTATAGTCTCTATGGAGACATGAAATTCCTTGGGTCTCTAGATCACTTGTAGGGTTCTGCCCCAATACAGGAGCTCCTTTAACTGTGCAGGAGGCAGCAGATTGGGATAGCCTGCAAACAGGACCCAGGCTGTAAGAATGAACTCCGATCAAAGCAAGTCACTGAGGTGTCCTTACCCTGGCTGTACCGGTTGGACACCTGGAGTGACCCCAGAAAAGTTAAATGCTACAAATGCTCCATTAAAGGGCAGAAAGTGGGTCATGGTTTCCAAGAGCTTCAGAAGTCAGCTCCTACCATGGCAGCCATGTAACCCTGCACTGGTGCCCCAGGCACTGCAATGCTGGCGCAGCCAGGGAAGAGGATCACAGCAAATGCTGCTGCTTCCTGCAATTTGGCCATGGAATGAAGCTTTGTCGCAGTGACGCTCTCTAACAGGCATCATACATCCTTCAGTTTAGTGTACTTGTTTGTTTGGCTTACCTCACATTTAAATGTTCAAGAACACCAGTGTGAAAAGACATCTTTGTTGAAGAGCTAACAGTGTCAAAGTTTCTGAAGAACACTGACCAATACTCTTTATGTCTTTTCACTACATCAAAGAAGAGTAAACTTGGATTTCTAGAGTTTGGGATTAGGTATAATTTTTTGTTTTTCTATTTTCCTTTATTCTAAAAGAGTACCTGAATTTTATGCCTTCTACAGAGAAATGCATTAAAGTGAAGACATGCAGTTTGACTGCACCTAACACCATAGTTATATGAGGTTATTATCTCTCATTCAAACTTCCTGTACCAGGCTTGATCTCATCCATGATCTGCTTGATAATCTACAAGTTCACAGCAGCCCAAAGGCAGCCTTTACCCATGCTTTTGTGCACTCCAAGGCATATGACACCTTTAATTGACCAACTTGCACTTGTCCCCAGGTGTTCCCATTTATGCAGGCACCCTGACCTCCACCTCCTGCTCCACCTTCTTCCCAGGGAGGGCATGGTGAGGACTCTTCAGGACATGCACAAGCTGTCCTGGGGCCAGGGAAATCCTGTGCCTGGTCAGCAGGTGGCGGCAATTAATTGCTGCCAAACCACCCAGAGGGGGCTGGGGTAACTTCAGCCACCTTGAGCCTCCAAGGGTTCCAAACTCATCCTCTGTACGGGGCAGGAGAAATTAATCCTCTGAGCAGGGTGGCTGTGTCCTCCAACATTTGGTAACCACCTCACACAAAGAAAAAAAAGATAAGTGCAACCCACTTAGCTTCTAGAGCACAGCCTACAAGCAAGTCTACCCAAGGGATAAGGAAGCTCAACCACCCAACTGGCAGCTCTTCCCTGGTGATGTGCAAATACTTTTTTGCTGATGCACTGGTAAAGACCTTACTCCTGCAATCACACCTTCAGGGCAAACCTCCCACAAGGAAACACTATAAATCAGCAAAAAACCCCAGGCAAATAAGAGCATCAGTCTGTTCTGAGAGGTGTGAAAGGTGTGTATTCAGAAGTGGGGAATAATAAGGCAGCAAACTTCTGCTGGAGGAAAAACATCTCAATGTATTCACACCCTGACCTTGCTAACAGATCCATGACAAGGCAGCACATAGACAGACTGAAGAGATTTTCAAACTGAGAGCAAGGAAGAGCTGAAGCATGTCTCAGTTGAACTGCAAAGGCAGAGACAGGTTAAGGGTTTGTAGCTCTCCATTAATACTGCCCAATACTTCTACTTCTGAAACACCTGAAGGGAGGCCGGCACTCCTCCATCCCTGCATCAGAAAACAACTGCACCAGCACCCATTGCTAGCAAGAAAACTCGCTTTCTGTCAGAATTGTTCTCCCATGTCAGGTTGGCATTTATGCCTGGGAGTGCCAGAAACTTTCCCATTTCCTCACCTATTTCATTCTTGTAAATTATAGTAGTTTGTCTACTTACTGTAATGGGATGAAAGGTCCACAGTACAGCACTGTGTAATTACCACCAGAAAAGCATTTTTCTTTTCCATGAGAAGAGGTAGAAGGTAGATAATGTTATAAAGGCAATGGCCTGTCTGGGGGAGGGGAAAAGATCAAAATAACAGAAGTGAGCTCTGTTCATCACATTCTGTATTTCTGAATGCAGACTCTGGAAGCAGGTCATGACAGATGCTACTAAAACTCTTCTGATCCTATCTCAAGAACTTGGGGACTTACAATCTTACATATAAAAATCTAAAAATCTACATAACACATATAAACATCCACATAACACTTCACTTATGCCAGTCTCCTGCCCTGTCTGGAATACACCTTAAGAATGATAAACCCTTCTTCCAGAAAAGCCCCAAACCCTCACAATCTGTGGACTGGTACCAAGTAGCTCCTGTGTTTTGACACTACAGACAGGATGAGCTGTGAGTGTCCCCTCCTGCACCAGAATCCAGCGAAGGAAGGTGGCAATTTGGGGGAGCAGAGCCCAAACTGCGCTATCAATGCCACAGCGAAGGCCCGAGCTAACAAGTACTGGCTGCATTGTGGCATCAAACCACAGGCTGCCTTGAGGAGGAGGAAGTTTGCATCAGTAGGAGTCCCCAGAGGCGCCCTGCGTGACTCATTCTGAATTCCTCTGAGGGCGCTGGGCAAGTGTGTGATGAAAGCTGGGGTTTATGGGGGGAGGTGTAAGGCTAGCTGCTGTGGTGTAGTAGAGAAATGGGACAGGCTACAGGGAATTTAACACTACTGGAGCACTGATGATTTATGAGGACACAAGTTGGTTGTAGCTCTTGTGCAAGGGCACAGGTGAGGTATCACCATAAATCCTCTGCCCTTTTGCCTGAGAGAGAAGGGTGGCCACAGTCCAGCCATGCACTCAAATATCACCCCAGGCTTAAACGTTAAGATTACTAATGGATTAAGAAAAATCTTTATAAATGAACAGTCACTAAGGACAAGATTCCTGCTCTGAGGACGGGAATGTGTGGAAGGACAACAAAAGGGTACTCAGATACCACTAGAAGAGAGATTTCAACAGCTGTCTGGAAGGCACTAGGAGGATAGGAGGGATGGATGAGGCTGTAAAGATGCCAGGTAGATGGAGTAATGCACAGAAGGCTGGAAGGGGCTATCTATATCACTGGGTACAGTCTAGCAAAACAGATGACTGTCACAAATGTTTCATCCAAGTGAATCCACAGAACTTCCACCAACACAACAAGGTAGAATCATCCAAAAGCACATCAAAGTGACTGCTCAGAAACATGAAAACAAGTAGAAACAGGAGAAAGGAAAAGGAGAAAGACAAAGAGTGAATTCATAGGAGCACAGGCATTCCTTTCTCCAGCAGCTCCTGGACAGCTCATTTCAAAACCATACTGCATTTGCAAGTGATTATCGCAGCCAAACATGCTCTCTGACATCCTCTGAGGGCTTTTTTCAGAGGAAGACAGGCTTTCCTCTGCTCACTATGCCCTGATGAAACTGTCTGACACACTTTGCAAGTGCAAATTAAAACCACGCTACTTACCATCAACCCCTTCTTGCAAATTCACATTTGCAAAGAGAGTAAACTAGAAACCCCAGGTGTTGATAACATAGTTGTTGAGAGAAACTAGAGTAGGAAGGAGTTAAATTCAGAACCTCATCTACCACAAGCATTATAATACAAACTCTTTTTTTTTTTTTAATGGGAAAGCACAAGAGCCTTGTTTAAACACAGATGGAAGTATCTAAATGTACTGCCTCTTCTACAAATGAATTATCCAGCAGTTCAAGTAAAGGTGAACTAATACTGACAAAATCAAGTAAAACTCAATCAAATGTGGGAGGAAAAAAACTCCAAAACACTTCTAAAAAAGCCTACCATGTATAACCATGAGTGGAATCACTTTGCTTGGCAAATCCTATCTTGTCTTTTTAAATGCAGAGGAGGTTCATAAACATTTTCAGGAGTTTCATGTACCAATCATCAAAGGCAAAGTCTATGGCATTGTGATAAAGTCACACTGTCCAAGAGATCTGACTTTCAGAGCTGGGTGTCTGGATTCAAAGCTACCCTGGTGGGCAAATCCAGAATCCTGAGTATCTTTGATTCTTTGTCCTGAAGAAATTATTTACATATATCTTAAATTCAATGTACATCTACAACTAAAAAGTCATTGCATAGGTACTAGGGATGAAACATGTTTCTTCTACAGAAATTAACTTATAATTATTTACCATTTGTCAGGGTTAAATCTTAAAAAGAGTACCAAATTATCATAGTCTACAGCATGAACATGATTCTATATGATCAGCTGGAATCCATATGAAAAGGACTTCATTCTTTTACTTTGTAGAATTATTTTTATAGAATCCCTTCAGTTACTCAGGTTTCAGAGACTGAATCAAAAATGCCAATACAAAGTTTATCATATTGTATTCAATTTTCCAGACATTTTTTCATATAGGTATAGTTGAATAGCTTTAGCCCTTTAGATGTCCTATTATTACATACAAAGATACATTACTCCAGCTCAGTGATTTTCATCAACCTTTATGCTCGGCAGCCCCCAAAAGTTTTTCAGAAGAGACAAGCTGCTTTATGGAGAAAGTTAATCTATTGACAATAAACATGGGTTTTTCAGTTACCTT